CGGCTTTAGCATTGAGGCTTCAAATGGCTGCAATTCAAAGGCGTTGGTTCAGTAGTTGTTTTAATGTACATTCAACTGCCCAAACTTTTTTACTGGGGATCACAATTCCACAATGGTATTTTAATGCAAGAATTACACCTTTAGTCATTCAATTATTATTTTTATGTGCTAAGAAGAAATATCATTCTACATTGGCCGACTAAGCTTGGGATCTCAGTGGTGACTTGAGGTTTTATGTTAATGCAATCACTAAACCAGTAATTAGAGGGCGTTGATACTTAAAAATGTCAGCCAAAGGTAAACTCTCCGATTGTTACTGGGGTGTTTAAGATTTTCAAGTTTTAGAAGCCGGTGAAAGCGAAACTGACAGCATAAAGCTTAGCAAAACACTGGGAAAATAATGATTCCCATCAAAAGTTGTCTGAGATAAGGGAAGTATTATTTGCACTTAAGTAAACAAGTAATTTTATGTGCTGTAGCATACCAAGGCTGTTTTGAAAAAATTTATGTCCTCAACATGCATTAAGAGGTTGAAGATACCGAAATGATCAGGCGTCTCTGTACTCGGCTTTGTTGCAAATACCTAATGTGCCACAATTAACATTACATCCCATCTATATACAATCGCATTGCCTTGAAGTGGCAGTTTGGTAAATCCGCTTCCGCTCATGAGGGAGCTTACTTTACTTGCAAGCATACTTCAACCCACCAGTTGGGCTCCAAACCGTGTCGGTTGCCCTTGATAATCTGCAGATCAGTGGCATCACTTAAGACGTGCTACTTTGAATTGGCGTGACAAATGCAACCGCTAGGGTCTCCCGATTACCCATTGCTGTAACTTGAATGAGCACACCTCTCCAATCAAGTGGATTGGACGTCGGATCATGAAAACAGTCCAGCCTTGCCATTTGTTGAGTATTTATGTTCTTACCATGATTAGACCAGCACTACTAAGTGAAAATGAGTGCAAGGAAAAAAGCACTTGTAAATTGCAGGTAAATAATTGTAATACTTCGTTTTTATGATTATCTGATGTAGGACTGGCCTTCGGCCCAAGCTCAGGCCTAAGTACTATCTTCACCTTGGAACACGTGTATTTAGCTCCACTTACTGCCTTCGGGATGCTACATTTGTGGCAGCAAAAGCGAACCCGACATATTTTAATGACTCCTATCCCGAAATGTACCGTTTGTTGCATGCAATTATGGAGTAGTAGGGGCGCAAGAATGATGAGAATGATGTCTGTGTTTGGCTTTAGGGACAAGCTATCAACAACTGAAAAGACACTGTTGTGAACCATCTGGAAGAGTTTCGTGTCGGAATTCTCTCTACTAAATTCGTATATAGGTGTCGAAGTGACACTGAGATTCTCCTTACATAATGAACTGTGTGATCCTGTTTTCCTTGTAAGACATCGAATTTAGACCAAAGTCCCACCATCTAGTCCTGGAAGCAACTGATGGTTAAAAGGTGTATGCTGCCTCGATTCTGGCTATCGGACCGAATGTAAATCTGTGTCCATTGCCGCTCCTCATTTGCATAGTAGTTGTTAATTGACTTGGTTGGCTCGTGAGTGCTTTCATGCATTATCAAATTTGTCGTGATTGTTGGTGCATGAGGTGTACGAAGAGGATGCCGATAACATCGTTGGAAAGAAAGGAAAAGTGTAATGCTTTGTTTATGTAACCCCCTGAGAACTGGAGGTTGACTTAAGACTCGTCTGACTCATGGACTTATAGGCTGATCTGCAGTACAGGTTCAGAACCAGTCCCTTTTTTCGCCCTAATATACGTTTTCAGCTGCACTTACTGTCTTCTACCCTGTGGGAAGTCTCGGGACACTAGAGTAATGGTAAACACTTTCTTCATAGAAATCTCTGAAGCGGCAAGGCAAAGTAATATGATAAAGGCGTACGCTAGACACACTTCGACGCAAAGAAGGGTTTGAGGTCAGCCGACATGCCTTGGGGTTCAGGTGAACCAATGGCAAATCCGAAGACAACCACTATCACATTAACATTGACCGCAATTACATGCTTGATGCAGCTTGCATGATTATCGTTATAAGAAGTCTCAAGTAGCATATTTAAACGTTGACATTCGAATTTTCGTGGGTTATAACAGTCACTTTAATTCAGACTAATTTTCATCAAATAAATTTTTCTATTTACTCTGCAATTTTTAGGTGTAACCAGGTATATAATTTTTGACCTTAAAAATGAATTTAGGAGCTTTATATACTTATGTCTCAAGGCGCGTTATTCACTCTAATGTGGTTGGATTGGTTAGCTGCTCAGGTGTGGGCTCTGCACGGCTCGGGGGTGTGGAAGGGTTATGCCACTGATCTCATTACCATTAATTTCATTTACCCTTACTTATGCATTTTAATGTCTGTTTATTCCCACATTTATGAGTTTTACGCTATATGGCTCCCCATTGGCCCTTAATTAGTTGTTTCCTTTACTATTTTATTCAGAGTCACTTCTTTGACGTCTCTGACTATTTCTATGGGAAAATATTATTAAGCCCTATTCCGTTTATTTTGACGAGTTTGTGGAGTATTTTCAGCCGTTTATAAGTTGTTCATCATGCTTATAGAGATTCGTGGTGAATTGTGGCACTTGCAAAGTTGGTTTGTAAGATTTACCCTACTACTTTTGTCAAAGCATGTGGAAAATTTTCGCTGGCCTTTGCATCCGCCGGCCTGCAGTGGTGTCGCTTCAGTTATCTCCTCTGCAGCGTCAGCTACAGGAATTTTTTACGGAGGTGGAAATCCAACGCAGCCATCTTTCAGCTCACGAGGTGCGCCATCGCAATGATCTAGAGCACATGGCAAAGGTGGCACGGGAACAGCAGGAGAAGCAAGAGTCTGCACGCTATCAGACGTCCGCTGATGGCACTGCTACTTCTCTGCTTACCGCCAAGGACATGGAATTGAGCTGGGAGGCTGGAGCGAAGGAGTTTTGGAAAGAACTAGGATGTACCTCTCTGCCTGGGGGTCAGTTGTTTTAATATAAGCACTTCTCCTTGTCACTTACTATAGTGGACTTACATATGTTCGTTTTCCAACTTACCTTCTAGCATCTTATGTCTCTTAACAGATCACCGCTGAAATAGTATTTAAAGGCCAAATTTTATAGTCTTTTAGTAAATTCCACTTCATGTCATGTTTCTTCAAGTCGGTTCTTATTGTCTTCATAGGCTATGCAAAGCCACCTATTTATTTACTCGGCCTTGCTTCAGTTTGCCATTGTGATGCCTACGTTTGCCTCAAAGATCACTTAAGATAAACAACACTGGGTGAAATCAGTAAACCGTTAAAGGGAATGCAGTAAATTGCAATTCATTGCTTTAAATTCGAATCCAGAACATGGGAATTGAACGGCTTGTATTGCTAAGTGTACAACCGAAGCACTACATAAAGTTGCCAAATAAACTCATGGGTTTTCCGGCATTGTACAATGCGTTACGTATGTGCGTTCATCTCTATGGAATCGAATACCCACCGGTGTTGACCTATTTGGGATTTTTAGCATGATTCGCATTAGTCTGCTCCTTTTTCGACCACCCATATCACAAGGTGTCGGCTGAGCCGTTGATGTGATTTGGGCTCGACCACTTTTTGAGCAATTAATCTCATTTCTGAATTCATGTGCCTTGCAACCCTTTTAGGCGGTGATATAGCACGTCAAATTGCACAGAAATGTTTAATCACGTTGATTTGGGTGATAAACCACGAATGCATGCCTTTTGCGAAAAAATTCTAGATCCTTATTCAGTTAGCAAACGATCCTACTGAATGTGTGTGATACACTTGGAACATCCATTGTGCTTGTCATCGCTCTTCACTTTTTGATGTATTAAATTATCACAAAGAGGACATTTTAAGGCAACTTTTCATGTTACTGCAGGCCAAGTTGTGACGTTATATTATTATGGTCGAATCTATTCCAGCGTTTTTTTACCAACCACTATATCGGTTCACGTGTCCCTCATAAAAACTTATTTCAAGGACAATTTATTGTCTTAAAATAGATATGAATGTTCCAGCATCGATAGAAGAAGAGAGTGGAACAGAGGCCATTTCAAAGACCACTGCGTGGCGTAAACTGGACCGTATCTTGGTTCTCCTTACCCGCCAACGCCTTGGAAAGTCCTTCGACTGGGGCCTCCCTGTTGTCGAAGTTACTGGGACTTCTACACTACGTTCCGTGAGCATATTATTACCGTTTCTTTTAGAACTAGGGTCCGTGGGATCGCGAGTGAAATCTAGCCTTAGTCATCCCTGGCAATAGTTCAAGACTCTTTCGTCTTTGGCTCTATCATTCTTTTCACGTTTAATGCTTATTCATAGTTTTTTTTGCAAATTTTTTTCTTAAACTAATACAGTTGTCATTATTAAAGTAATTGACGATCGCACTAGGAGCTGAGTGAGTTGATCAGGTCCCTGTACTACTCTTTGTTTAATCTGGACATCAAGGCGTTTTGGAGACTATCACTCGTACGCCTTTTCTTAGAATACTCTTTACTACCTGGCTAAATATCATTTCTTGATAGTGTTGCAGCTTTACTATCTTATCCACCGATATGTAGCCGTTTATAATTTTAGACGATTAACAAAATTTTGCTGATAAGCTCCGATGTGAAATCCATTCACATGTCCCATAATTATGCTTTCGGCAGTGAACTGTACGCTTGCTTTCTGTTTCATTTGCGATTCTGTCGCTTCCGTTCTGGTTTTGTTTCATCGGTTTGGAGTACTATGGGCTTGTGCTTCACTCCTACTACTCTAGTTCTCTTTAAGCCTTTCCTATGGACGAAGTGACTTAATACTCGGACAGAATATGGGTATTTAACATAGGATAGGGTTTAGTATTGCTGGTATAGCCTGGAGTCCACCTTGCCCGCAAAATTACAATGGAGGCACATCTCCGTGACTCCTTTATCAAAAGCTGGAGTTACTCAAACCTCTGATTTATCGCATAGCCTCTGTCCTTTGAGCGTTGTTCCTGTAGTGTCAACCATCGCATTACAATCGGTGCTGTAAGGGGAGAGCATGCGATCCAGCCGTGCCAATCATCGGGTTTACGCGCAACTTCGCTGATTCCTTTTAGAATTTCTGTTCGACGTAAAGAGTTGTCAAGTTGAAAACCGTATTAGCAGGAAGGAAACGGGATGAATCACCTCATACGTCCGTCTCTACTTGATTAAACGCTGATCTTTTTGAAAGGCTTTATAAAATGGAATGGAATCGATCATCCGTTTTATAGGGGTGACCTTTGCGTTTAGGAAAAAAAAACTCATTTCACCAAAGACGAACTGTCTTCATCCCTACGCATTTCTCTGGGACATTCGCACGTTTGTTAAAAGTAGTCTTGATGCTCGCTTTGCGCTAACTCCTCCGAATCAATGGTCCTCTTTAATGGCTGTGCTTAAATTTATCACTAAATAGATTAATCACGTGTGTGTGTGTGTGTGCGTATTTTCGTCCTATGACGAGCATCCCAAATGCCGAACTACCCTTACTTCCTGCCATTTTTGCTAGCACCTTTATTGCATGAACCGCTTTATGAAATGTCCGTTGAGAGCATTGACTGAAATACAATCGGCTTTAATGCTCTTTATTTTCATTCTACTCCACTTTATTTTTTCCCCAAAGTAAAAACCGCATGAATCCGGTAGTTTCTTTTATCCGCAGCCGGAAAACAGCAGATCGAAGTAAACCATTTGAATAACTTTTATGTTAATTCTCAGGTGCTCTTTAAAGCTTGCAGTTCTCTCAGCTTCCTCACAAAGTTACTGCTTAGTTTTGCACATCCAGTAAAATGTCGTTTTTTGCGACTAGTTTTCATTTGCCATCTTGTGGATGATATGACTGATTTTTAAATGCATCATCTATCAAGTAAGCCTGTGTAACATTGAATGGTAAGATAACTGTGGAAGGTTCCATTTTCCTTTCAGACTTATATTGCAGCTCATTAGCCTCTCCTATCAAAATTCAGGCCTCCCAGTGGCTTTTCTAAAAGCAGAAATCCCATATCCCTTCACTTACTTTTTATTTCGCAATCGCCCACACTATTTCACAATTCAGTTGCTGTTTCTTTGATTGCATTCTTTTGTCCAGATGTGGAACTAAACTTGGCTCTCCACTAATAACCGTTGAGTTTGCCTACCAAGTCCATTTTTGGGTTTTACCATGACCAAACCTAAATGATGTCATTATGTTGGAGATGCAAAGAGTAATAGAAATAAAGATGTGTTTTATCATTCCGAGTGCTGCATTGAATCCACTAGCGTTTTAGTGAAAAATCTTTGTTAAGCATTGCAAGCGTTCCATAAGTTTGCTGAATAGCAATAATGTGGTAACAACTATTCCCTTCGTAAAAGAAACAAGATCACAATGAGCAATTTTAGTTTTTGATGTTTTTAGGCGGTAGAAGATCTTGCAAAGGCCCTCCTCCCTCCAGAAGCGCAATGCATGATCGTCGGAAATGCTCCAGTGGCGATGCATAAATACGCCTATCGTATCGACGAAGGGAAGGAGAAGGGACAGAAACAGGGCGTTCAGGTGTGCTTAATCATTCTGCTTTATTGAGTTCTTAAATAGTTAATATCCGGTGTCAATAGATAGCCTACGAGCTTCAGCATCGTGCGCCCACCAACTTGCCAGTGTCAGCAGGCTTCATCCGTGTTGGCGACCTGGAGGGCTTTCGTAGTACAATTCTTCTTACCTGCTACAACTACCATATCAGTTATCTGTAGTGGAAAGACGATAATTAGGTCGAAATAATTGCTACTCATTCTATTATTGTTTTCCCCATTCTTTTCCTTTTTTGTTAATTCTTGTCACCGGCATTGGAACCACTGTTATCAACCGACGCAATGGCAGTGCAGACCCATTAGGGATTTTTACGGAAGCAGGCTCTTCCATTAAGTTATGATGCCAGGATCCTTGCTTCTGTTTGTTACTGAAATCGGTCAAATCGGCTCTTTCTGACATTCGTTTGTTCAACACAAGTGTACTCTCTTGAAGTTCATGTTGACGAGCTGTGATACTACTTCTGGTGGCATTAGCACCAATTCGTAGCGCTACCAGCTTATTTAAGAATGGCGGAACGAGGATTCGGGTTTCCTAAACTAGAAGGTCATTAAATAAAGCAACATACGACCATCCCTTTTGAACACCTGTCAATGTTACCAGCATATGCGTATGATCGTAGCAACAGGATAAGGTGAGGCGAGGTCAAAATTTTGTTCTCTTTTCCCAATGCAGATGTACTTTCTGAACGCCTACGTGAATAAACTGTGGCATGGCAAGAATGTCCAAGCCGAAGAAGGACCGGATGGAAAGGGAGGTGAGGCAAATTTCGCTTGGACGTGCATCGAGGAGATGGGTGAATTCGTCACCGATAAGCGGTTTCTTCGACGTCTACGAACTTTCATTGTAGAATACTGATTTTTTGGTGTCTGTTGTCCGCGATAACTTATGTTTACTGTACAGTATTACATTTTTTTATCAAAATACCTTGTAAATTCCGCTGTTCGTTGGTTGACTATCCGGTTGTCCTGCCTCACGCTTTACAGGATATAGGAGTGTCGATCTATCATGTACAGTTTTCTCCTTATTTTGGCTAGATTGGTTGCATCTGTTGGATGCTATCGAATTTCATTCCCCTTACAAATCACGTTTGGTTCACTTTTACAGTTGCATGACCTTTCAGTAGAATGTATTGCTCCGAAATGTGATTTTAGAAGTGAGTCACACCATGGTGATACATTGTGTTGTGTAGTATGCCAATGCAAATTTTCAGCATTTCTTTTCCCTAAGTACTGGAGCACCTCTATGGCCATGCATTTCCTACAATAAAGAAAATCCCATGAAGTGGCTTGACCACACGCAGAATCGATGTCAGTCGAGTTGAAGATCGGATCCAGCCGTCCGCTTGCATAGGTATGTTTAGAACAAAGTGCTGATTAATGAATGAATTACGAATCTGGCTTTTGCTTGTTTGCCACTTTACCTTCGTCAGTCTGCGTTGTGGTAGCTGACGCAGATTCCTGCCTTGGGCTCAGAGAAGATTGCATTTCCAGTGCTTTAGGGTTTTCTGTTCCGGCTTGAACTCCCTCCTTTTGCTTCTGAATCCTAGATGTTTCGAAATCCCCATTCTCTCCCTTTATCCCTCTTCTAATTGGTTAGCAATTTGTGGAAATACGGATTAACTGTAACTTCAATACCATTAAGACAGTGTAAATGTGGGATCATTGTCCTTCTCTGTGCACTGGACCGGATCCGAAATCCATGTCTCCTCACTCGTCTGGTGGGCGTTGCGATGGTGTTCGCGAGCACACAAACTCGCAAATAGCTGGTAATGATTGATGATAGACTGAGCAGGTCATAAATTCATCAAAATTTGAACTTCTGCTTGATCACACTCAATGTTGGAATTGCTAAAAGTAATCACTTACATTAGTCAGCCTTAGCAACTGTATCATCAACCAATGCTGTAGTCTGGTTGGCAATGTCACTTTTAAGTCATGAATCAAACGTCGATCGTATTGCGAGCTGGTGTGGAGGGATCCATCCTCCGGTGGGTCAACGCAGATCTCTAGTTTACTTGGTCGTGGCCTGAATGATATTTTGGAAGGCGAACTTCAATATAGCTGAAAAGGCCTTTGAATTTGTGCAAATCCTTTTTTTAGAACTGCTTTGTGATTTGGCTCGAACAAACCTCACAGTGTTGCTACCGTGGCCATTGATTCTTGTTTCCTGTCAAAACCATTTAGGGCTCTTCCATATACCAACAAGAATTAGAGATGTCAATCGCAAGAAAATGGTTGTTAGGGCTCAGGTACATTCGATCGGTCTGGTGCTCAACACGAAACCGGAACTAATCCAGTTCTTATGGTTGAAATAAAATGTCTTCAATTCCCAGATCGGTTAGTCTAATCAGTTTGCTAATCAACAGCCGCGATACGCGACTATGCACAGAACAATCATTCATTTTGGTTGTCCAAGCAGATTTTACTTCGTTTTTGTTCGGCACGTACGGTCTGGCACTACGCCATTATTCAACCTTAACAGACTTGGACTCCAGCTTCCTACTACACTTGGACAGATCCTATTACCGTGAACGGGAAATTCAGCGTATCACAGCCACGTTTACAATGGGAAACAGCAGACTGCATTGTCGCATTAGGACGTTATGAGCGCCCAACCATGAACACACAGCAAGGTATACCAACACACTTAGCTATCTCAGTTAACTCACAACAAAGTTTAACAGTTATTCTTCTCGGCTACTTCAGCGAACCAACTTTATGGATGGACATGCAAACCGATAAACCGCTATTTTATCATTCACTATCATCCCACAGAGGACTTGAATCCGACTAGTTATCCTTTGCGTCTCGTCAGCTAATAGGTAGCGATCTTGAATCGTCTTTTGTTAGTAACGCCAGTTGATGACTTTTAAACGGCAATGTGGTTTATTAGAAACACGTACTCATCATTACCGAGTTGGCAAAGGCTGCCAAGCCATTGTGTCCAAGGCGACTGCATTACTCCCTCATTGGAAGTTCGCCCGTCTACCACCGATGCGCGGACAGACATTATCAAACTTGTTATAACCCGTCAAAGGCTTTTTCCTCAACATATTAGAGGTCGAATCAGCCGATAGCACCTCATATATTGCCTCTAAGTCTATCCTTTGCATCAATCCATTCTCCAACAATATGCATCCTGGAGTGAAGACCATGAAGAAGGAGTGACTACCAAAACCCCACTAATTGAATGCAGGCTTCGTCTGGTCAATGCAGAGATGCTTCAAAAGCCACAAACTTGCCGATACCCCTTGCCCAGTCCATCGTCGAAGAAAGGTCCCACCAGATGCGAAGGTCGGTATTGGCACCTAGGCAGCCAAGAACTCGACAACAATAAGGAATCAGCAGCAAAATGGACATGTTGATTGATACCTTCAAGCATTTTTTCCGCCTGCAAATCTTGTTCCACAGAGAGTAAACACAGATGATGTACCCGTTCTACACAGGACGCCCAAGATAACAGGAGGTCAAGGAAAACAAGCTTATTTAAGATGCCCAGAAGTTCGTTTCAGTTGTTTAAATTTCTGCAAGTCGAATTACAAAGTATTCCAGGGAATCCTTGTACTTTGCGCTCTGATTACAACCACCTGATTGTGAAAATGCAGATCACGTAGGAGCCGATTTCCGGTACTCGACATCCAACTACTCAACACTTGATTGTAGGGATTAAGACCTCTAGCGACATTAATGAACGGATTTGTTCATTTCAGTAGCATCACTGAAAATATTATTTTAGCAATGTTTAGAAATGTGTTTTAGTAGAAAACTCCTTCAGTCAACAGCAACTAACTAAACCTCCTGTCTGATGGATGCCATATGCATTTCATCCAAAAAGTTGCAATGCAATGCATTGCATTATTCTATGACAATCACGGTGCAAGGACCAACATTGTGTCACTGTTTAGAAACCATGGGAAATGTCAACTACATTTAATCAAGAACAGTCGAATTCAGTTTACTGTGGCAAGACATTTGTACGCTTTACTCCTCAAAAGGCGCTATTTTATAGCAGGAGAGATGGTATAATGCACAATTCTATTAATCTCTATACAGCATGTCAATACATCGGTGCCTCAGCGCTTCCGTTTTTTTGCAAAATACTTGTGATTTTGCAAGTCTGTTTGCGAAGGACGTTTCACTGAACTTTTCAATTCTCTTGTCGTAGTGTTGGTGGGCTTGGCAGCATCAGCACTAGTGCCAGCCAACTTAACCTGTCGCCATCTTTGTGGATTGGTGCGGTATACAGCAGAGCCGACTAAATTCTCCACAAACCTGCCAAACTTTGCTCCTGCTAAACGGTCCGCCAAGGGCGCCAGACATTTCGCAATCTCCTCACGCAGCGGCAACATCTCCTTCCCCATGGATGACTTCAATGTTGAAACATCTGAGCTGCGCCATAGGGCCTCCACCACCCGGCTACCTGATTGGTTCATGGCCAGAGTGCCCAATTGTGACTAAACAGTGAGACAACTTACTACATTAGTCGTCGTTAAGCTACCATGGAAAATTCAGCATATGCAGTGTAAACACCACCGAGCTCCATTGCCATTTATTTATCCTAAACTTTGATCAGAGGAATAAAGATTAAACTGAGGTGAAGACGCACACCTTATGGTGACAAATAAGCCGATTTAATCGTGGAGAAGAAAAGAACTGGTGAGACAAACCAGTTATAAAAGCAGACATCTCTGACCATGAGTTTAGTTACAGAAAAACTAGTCAATCGAGCATCATAGTTTAAAAGCTTTGGCATTAATAGTTCAAGCTCGTTAAAAATGGAAAACAGAGAATAATGGAAGGAAAAAGAGTTCACCTTAAGACGAGCAAAGACTTGTAGTTTCCTCTGCTCCGGTACGGAGGGCGAAAGGAGAGCAGATTCAATGACCCGGTGCAACATTCGATTTTGAGACCAGGCAACCATCTCAGGAGCTGACAAGCTGGCTAGACTGGCAGCCAGACGGGTTGGACGATGGTGAGTAAATCCAAACATCTCCTCAGCCAACAAACAGCCCGCCAATTTGCATCCTGTCACTAGATTAAGTTTGTAAAAAGGTTGCAACTTAAAAACCACCAAAACAGTACAGCATAAAAAACTACTCGTGGAATCAAGAAATAATAATGGTAACATGTGATTCTGTTTAACGGTGAATTCTGACCACGCCTACAATTCCAAGTCCCAGTGCTTCTTGTTGCAACAATATGAGGCATCCGAGACGCTACAGCAGAACAAGTCGCTATTTGCTGATGCACGCATATCGCACCCATTTACCGTTGGTATTCAACCAGTGGACCATTACGATTGAAGTATTTCATTTATGCATCACTAAAATTCAGTCGTGCCAAAGTTGATTTTTTTTTCAGCTGAATTAAAGTGAAGTGTCTTAGCAAGAATGATAAAATTCATTGATTGCTGT